TGTTTGTAAAGTCCCCCGCGACACAGGATAAATTCCTAATGCGGGAGTTAATTGAGAGGTAATTGCTGCACTTCGTGTATACGTTTACTGTAGCAGTGAGGAAGCTTCGTGTGACTAAAAGTTTGATATCGTACTTGTACTTGCAGTACTTGCAGTATTAAATGTGAACCACACCTTTTACCCCTTGGAATTAAAAAAAAAACTTTTTCCGGTAAATTATTATCATTTTTAATTACAGTCGACGATTTACTTTATTCTCAAGGTGCTTTAAACTCGGCAGGTGTCATAATTAATATTCACTAACCCTTTCGCATCTAAATGAAGAAAAAATCTAATTTTATTTAATTTATTTAGGAGTAAACAATTACTGTCATTATTTATTTTTGTGACCTTTTCTACTTAATTAATTCCTTCTTTGCCCCCGAAGGGCGGGGTAATCTTTAATCTCTCTCTAAAGTGTTTAATGTTCTGCCTTTTTAGGAACTTCAAAAAAAGGAATCTTCTCAAATACACTAATATTTTTTCTGGGTATAATGTATTCATCGACCAATCTTCACTATTTGTTTTATTAGATGATGACAAATAACACATCCAACTATCAATAAAAAATATCTGTTAAAGTGGCATTATTTAGACGTATTGGAGCCTGTTTTTTTAATTGGATAAGGATCATTTAACGTGTTCCAAATAAGAAAGACAACCACTTCCATAACTTAATTAGTATTGCTTTATTGGAAGATAGATTTAACTACGAAGATTTGTTCGAAATAAACTACGCTCTAATAGGCGAGTGCTCAGGGATTTGATGACATTAAGGTATTAAGGATTTACTAAATATTTTTCAAATTAACTTTAACCATTTTACCCAAGTAATGTATAAATTACTTTTTTAAACACTTATTTATTGAAAATATAAATCTATCTGCCATCAGTAGTAATTCGATGCACAGAACACCCTGCAAATTAACTCATTCATTATAATTTTGTGACAATCGGCATCATCTTAAGATGATGAACATAGAGATGCACAACGTCAGTAACACTTAAAGTAAGAAAACCGAGCTTCCTTCACTTCATAGTTTTTATTGAACTATTTTAGATACCATTGACTTACTTTCAGTAGTCGCTAGTTGCCCGCTTACTTGTGACTACTCCGAAAATAACTCATTATAGAGTGAGTTATTTTTAACTTAAGTACTGTGTCTAAGTATTAATTGATATGACGACCGGATGGCGTAGTGGTTTGGGTAACGGACTGCTATTCCAAAGGTCGTGGGTAAGATTCCCGCACAAATTAAACATTTGTGTGGATAAACATTTAATGTTTGATTTGGTCTGGGTGTTTCTATGTATAATAATTATGTATTTACAAAAAAAAGTACATATGTATTTATATCAGTCGTCTAGTAGTCATAGTACAAACTTTGCTTAGTTTGGGACTAGATGGCGTTGTGTGAATGTGGTGGAATATTATTATTAATATATTATAAATTATCTTATACATTTATTTGTTACAAGTACTTGTAAGATGAGTCATCTGCCTTAGTTTTATGCGGTCCTTTTCCGTGCCGTTTTTTGGCAATATACTTCTACAAATAAGCGTAAGCGTTTTAGTACTAGGATGGGGGATAGTCTGATGGTTAAACGTGACCAAAATTCATTACATTTTGAATGTTTTTGTGTTCTTTTATTGTACATTGACCTAGTAACACAAATCAAGCTATTAATTTTGAAACGTCATTATAAAGACTTCATACTACGACAGGCCAACAGACATACACTATAACGTGTATAATAATATGCCGATAGGATTACATTATTTCTCAGTTTATAACAGATAATATTTAAGAATTATATTCTCTGTGTATAAACTTTGACAATTCAAAATTCCACATGCTTCTATACGCGAAACTTACAGTGTCATTTATGTAGTGACCTTAAAAGTAAATTGAGTTTGCCCCTTTTTAGCATTTTTGTAGTTGTTATCAGAGATCAGTCTTGATCTCTTAACCTTAAAATGTTTTTTATTTTTGAGGGGCCAGACGAGTGTGGCCATCGCCGCCCATGAACGTCTGCAACTCAAAAGTCTCAAACCCGTTACCGGCCTTTTAGGAGGGAGTACGCTCTTTTCTTGAAGGTCGTATCGGTCCGGAAATACCGCAGACAATAACCCGTTGCACAGATAATAATAATAAATATGTATATGAATTGTATATGGCATTTTTTTGTATTTCAAATTGTAGAGAAGCAGGCATCTAATAGTTATCCTCATTTTCTTTAGTTCTTTACTAACATATAACAAAAATCTAATTATCAGTCGGTTTTTGTAAATTTCGGTTAGTTTAGTTCAGTTAAAATTAAATTTCATTTATACACATAAATAATTGATAGATTTTTTTCCAAAAGTGAAGATATGTAGAAATCATTATGTATCAAGTAAGACAAACATTAAAATGGAAAATTATTACGTAGCATTTGCCGCGGTACATAAAGTCTGTCTCGTGGGCAAAAACGGAAAACAACAAAAAACAAATATTTCTTAATGTCAAGGTTCTCGTTGTTTTCTAAAAGATTTAATTAAAAGAAGTGTCGCAATATCTGTAGACAACAAAATTGACAAAAAATACAAAATGACTTCCTTTAACTTTTAAAGTTACTTATTACATTGATAATAATTTATATGACGGTGAAGTATTTATTGTTATATTTATAAGATAATATACATATGTTCATTTTAAACTATAAGTAAGTATTTATTTCACAAAGAGTTTCAAATGATTTCTAAAGAGAGAAGGTAACATTTGATTGCATTCGGTTTCTTAGGGGAATATTTATGTTACTAATGATTTAAATTTTTTAAAAATAACTGTGAAGGTTTGTATTATGATCGTGCTTGTATTATTAGATATTACATAATTTGTTTAAAAACAAATATAATGAAGGAATCCTATGACAACCGTTAACGGGAGATAAATTACTGATTTAATTACAAAGTACATTACAAGTGTTTTTGAAGCAGTTAACATCTAAATGTTTTATAGCATGTTTCTAATTATGTACAGAAAGTTTTCTCTCTCTCTCTCTCTCTCTCTCTCTTACTCTTCTCACTCTCAATAATAATAATTTTAAAATTTTAATTTTAAAGTTAATATTTCAGGTAAGCTTCATAGATTTATTAGGAAATGCAACAGATTATGAAAAACCAGTAACTTGCCGGAATACTCCTGCGAATTTATTGAAGTGAGTTAAATCTTATTTATTCTCAGTGATAATGAGACCATTCATTCATAACAAATATGTGCTTACTTATTTAAAAGTATTACCACTTGGAGGTAATAAAAAAAGCTGTTACAATATTTTTGAGGCAAAGCAAAGTAAATTCGTCATAAAGATCGTTAAATGCTGGTGGGATATTTTTAAATCAGGTTTCATTTCCACAAAGTGAGGAAATGCCGAAAACCTGTCTTTTGCAAACCTTTAAAGTTAAAGTGTGTAAGAATTGTATGACACTCATACTGCTCATATATTTAAAAATATTACACTTTCTACTTCATATCATAAGCAATTTCTTATAAGATTACATTTCTATAATTGAATGAATAGATAAGATTCTTTCATGAGATATCAGTAAAACTTCCTTGATCATAAACCAAGCTTGCAAATTGAATTCTATTTGAAACACGTTTAAGTAACAAATAAACCGTCACAAAAATTAGTACGTTACCGCGAGAATATCAACATTTGATGTATTTATTGTGTATAATGTTTTATAAATACGTGTCGCTTTACGCGTGAATAAACCGTCGTTGGAACAAAATGAATGGATACATTTAATCTCTTTTCCGATGATTTCGTTATGCGATTTCCTTTATAAGCTCTAATACTCGTGCTTAGAATTCTAAATGTTATTTACGCGGTTTATTGATAGAATCAATATTCTGATCATATTGAACGGGCGATTGATATAATTTTAAATCGTACATATTTATCATAAGTACACGGTTTTGTTTTAACACGAATAAGCAACAATAAATTGTGTAACTTATAGACACGAAAGAACGATTTGTAATATGCCTGATAATTTAAGAGACTATTTAAGCCAAGGCGGATATGTTAAAACACTGATGTTTTTAAAGCTAATTAATGTGTACACATTAATTTAAGTGTTCTCAGTGGTCGTTAATGACCTAAGTTGTTAAAAATAATAAAAAAAGAAATTGTCTTTCATGTATATTTTGTAAGATGTAATAGGATGTTTATACTACATTTTATTAAATCGCTTTTTTAAGAAGTTCACTTTCTTTTATTATTCGTGTATGAAATATATCTCGAGCAAAGTTAATCGTTAAATCCATTTTTCGTTGCATAACAGAAAAAACACACTTACAGTATTGCATTGTCAAAAATTCACTTGAGTTGAAACATGAAAATATTAAGGATTTGATTACGTAGTATATTTTATAGGTACACATAAAATACTTTAAAATATTCATTCCACTAGAAACACTAATATGAATTAAGAACCATTAACAATACATATTTATCATATGAATTCTTAGAGGGTCTACGTTGAGATATAAAATTTGAATAAAATGCTTTACAAAACAATACAAGTAGATTCTATTTAAATTACAAATACCTATCTGTTGCTAGAGAATTTATTTTGGTTATTGTTCGTTTTTAAATCAACTAAACATACTTCAAATTATAAATTTCCATTTTTTTTGTCAAATGATCTATTCTCGTTGGATTTTCAAAATGAAATCACTTTTAATTCAATTTACATGAAATTTAAGAACAGTACATACTCATTATTACAGTTAGTTTATATATTTGAGCTATAATTTTTTTTCTCATAATATTTTATTTCAAAAATAATTTTCAATTCTTTATAAAACTAAAACTCTCAAAAAACATATAAAAAATAAGTTATCTTCGTTGTTACGAGTACACGAAATATTTTTTACGAATATTACAAGTGATTGAAAGTTTAGACTTACCGAGGTGAAGACACGGGATTCGGGATTGCCACAAGTACTGTGCTGGGGTCACGTCTTCGATATGATCGCGCGCATTCAATAACAAACTTTTCAGCCATGCAAAAGCTTATATAGGTGTCCGCCCCGCCCACCGTCCGCCCCGAGGCGGGAGGAGGTGCGCCCTACAGCCTTCGCGCGTAAAACTTCAGCTGTGTAACTTTTTTAAACTCTGTACTTGAAAAAAAAGTGTGATTGCGTAAAAATTACGAGTATTTGTAGAAAATTGGTAAATTTCAACAGAAAATTGTAAAATTGGTATTCAATACACGTTACTATAGAATTTTGCTGGCAGAGTAATCAATGTTATCTTGTAAAATTTTCTTCATTCAAACCCCAGTAGTGTACAAGTCTGCGACACAATATTTATCCCTGATTTGTCAATGTTCATTTACGTAACTGTGTAAGAAGCAACCTAAATTGGCTTGTAGTGACTTTCCCGACACCAATATTTTGATGAAGGTGAATAAAATAAGAAAGAAGATTGAGGAAAAATACCAAAAACTAATGGAGTTTCGTTTTCAATAAAAACATCAATTCCCAACGGAGATATCGCCTTACCTAATCGTAATTGTAATAGAACACAGTATCGGGTACCGATGGATTTTCTACGAAATATTTTTAATACAATCACATTACCTGGACCCACCGCGTAATGTAATTTGTGATGAAGATGAATTCAATAATTGGATAGATAAACAATTAAATGAAAGACTGTTATTGAATAAAATAATAATATATTGTAATCTAAACTTTTGTTATTTGAATGTGATTGACAAAAATTGTGTTTCGTCCGACTGCGCTTAGAAAATAGATTAAAATTATAATTATCACTCACAAGAGAGAATTCAACTCACTCACTCAAACAATTACTAGAAAGTTATCCGTGTGTCTCATCTGCTCCTTTGCTCCCAGTATCATTAAAAATAATTACACAATTATATCGAAAGAGGATTGGACTGAGAGCATTTTTACTCTTTTTGGTGACTCTTATATGCCATCAGATGGGCTGCTTACTTCTTTGCTATTTTAGCTTTATAAACAAAACATTACACTAAGATTTGTGCACGACAAATCTCACAATTATTAGGTATTACTATAAAAACACAATCTAAGAGTTAAAGTTACTTACAATACAATTTTGGTTGTAGTGTTGACATTTGACTGTATTATAAGTTTCTTTGATATTTGTGTATAATGTAGATTTTTGAGTGCATTTAATCATAAACTATAGAAATACTTTCCATTATGTAAAGTTTCTTCCATGTGAGTAGCTTAATTAGGATGAAAAAGCTTAACAAATAAACAATCGATTATCAGCTGAGAATTTTTATTGGCTAGGTTTAAATTAAATTGCCTTTCTAACCCTTATCGTCAATCCTTATTTTTATAATTTATAGATCAGATCACTGTATGATGTAGCATTGTTGTATTTATAATAGCAATATATTAACGGCAATTAACTCTTAAATACCTAATCCTAATCCCAACTAATATTTTAAATACCAAAGAGAGGTTGTTTATTTTTGAAACATTCAGCAAAAAAAGACAAGCATTTTTTTCATCAAAGCAATTGAAATTTAACATATTGAATAAATGTTTAAAGTAAACTTCATTATAATTAAAATATTCCTGTTTTTTAGCACGATGATCCATATGCCATTTCACTTCAACATTTATTTTTAAGTAGATTTTAACAAACATAGTGACAAGAACCACCTTGGTCTTTTTTTAAATTATATATGAGAAGACATGGGACAAAATGACAGTAAACTGTGAGTTATCATTCAATTTTTGCGTAGGTAAGTTAGGGTTGCTAGGTAGGTAGGTTGGCTATTTAACAATAAATCTAGTATTTTTTTAATTATTACATAATAATAACTTAATTAATCTTCTATAATATATTATTACATAATCTTTATAGGAATAGTAGCTATATAGATTGACTGTTAAATAGGTGAAGTAGGGCCTTTATGCATCGTCTGAAAACAGCTTATTGACAACGACGCGTGAGTAAGTAGTAACCCTAACCTATATACGAAAAAATCGAATGATAAATCACTGGTCTTTCACTGTTCACTGTGATTTTGTCCCATATGAGACAAACGGGTCGGACGGGTCACTTGATGGTAAACTAATGACTACCACCTCCTATTGACATCTGCAGCTGAAGAGTCACAAGATTTGAGATAGAGAGGAAGAACTTCTAGGTTATAGGTATAGGTTTCTTTTATAGGCTTGGATTTCATACCGCTCTTGAAATACCGCAATCGATAATTTTGTTGCACAGATTGGTTGTGAGAGGATAAGTCGCAGAAACACTTCTAATAATTTAAACAATACAAAAACGGCTTCATTGGTAACAACAATTTCTTCATAACACTTTAAGTTAAAGAAAAACTATTTATTTGTTTTTAGTATTAATTTATTCATGGCAAAGGGGCAACAATTATTTTCAAATAAAAGAAAAATATAAGACAAACTTTTTCCTAAACAAATTGCCACTTAGTTCAAAAATCAAAAACAAAAATAAGACAGTAAGAATTTTGAATTATAAATTTGTTACGCTTTATTTTGCAATAATTTTCGCTTTGAATACGTAGCATCAATTTTGTAGCAAAAATTTTCTATTACGCAATATAACGCTTGAATCAAAAGTCATTTTGACACTGCCGATGTAGACCATCATGTACTTTTTTATGTGTGGAACCATCCCCGGACCGTCACCCTGTCAGGGTTTTGTGGAGGAGCGGTATGTCAAAATCGTCCAACTAAAGCCACGCGGTGTGCCTCAAATAGGAGGGGCGAGAACAGCTTTAATGAAGACATCTAAAGACTATTATGTAGTAAAATAACCTAATTCTATATTTCCAAATATAATGCTTTGACACATTTTACTATGACATTCATACACAGCCTAAGTATTTTTATCATATGATTTAAAAAGCCTTATAATATTTTTAGCAATACACGCAAAAAAAAACTTGAAAAGCTTAATAACTGGCGTAACATCTAGTTAGTTCCTATATTTGTTTGTTAAACCTGCAACAGCAATTAACATTCTTGCTTGGATTAAAACCTTTACGTCTGTTGCGTCGTTTGTTTCTAACATAAACGCCCGTCTACAAGTTTCGATACGATGGTTATGCAGATACCCGAGTACATTTTCTTATAGGATCTCAGGATTATGTAGTGTTTTGCTATAACGTCCTAAAATAACAATGTATTGATTTCCACTTTATTATTCTTGAGAGAAAGGGTCTAAGAATAATGGAGTTAAACCAGTTGCTATTCTGATACACAAATATTGGGCATCAACAGCTTCTAATTGATTAACCGTTGTACTTATTTTACTCAATATAATAAGAAAGGTGAAGTTCCCTATTGCTCATATGCTCTTTATCATACGCTATATTTTCTTACCAAAATACATCATATTACTTTTGACAGTTTGGTATTTTTCAAACCATTAAAATATTTTAAAAAATATACCATACAATGGTATGATTAAGATTAGAGCTAAGTACGGTGGTGGTCTTGTTGTGTATAGTAAAGCCTATCTTTCTTAACACGTATTATTATTGTCAAAATTACTATGTTTATTTTACGTTCAAGTTTTAAATAATAGAGTAAAAGTAGAGGATGCTTGTAATTAGTTTAAAAAACATTCACACTCAAATCTATGTTATCAGTATACTGTATTGTATTTCAAAAATAATATCGCATGACAGTTATGTAGCGTCCACGCAACGATGACGCTTGGGAATTGCTTGGCGGAACCTCGTAGAAAAATACACACAGCTCTGCTAAGCCTCTGCAACTACCGACGATGGTGACAGACACATAGACAGACAGCGAGCAAACACACAATGTGTCCCACATTCCCCATTTGTATGGAAATTATAAATAAGCTACCCAGACAAGATGGACGACCTGACTTTATCTTTTGTAATATTAAAAAAATAACCCTCAGGCTGCTTTTTCGAATACATTGGATATTAAATAGATTTTAATTTCGTGTAATGTATACATCCTTTTAACTATTAGTAATTAACTTACTTATATTACTATAACTGTATAATATGTAAGTTATGTACAAAAAAATCGTTTTATCGAAATGCATGGTCTATTTCGGCAAAAAAATCATTAGGAAGCCAGTCGATTTTTAAAAATTGACATCTCAGTTATATCAGTACTTGAGTTGCCTACCATAAAAATTCGAGCATTTAAAGTGTATACATAAAATACTGTACAGTATTAATAAACACACACATTCAAAACCGTTCACTGCGTCATGACACTCATAGAGTAATCCATCATCAACCACTTGACATCAATATAATTACGGACATGTTTACATAAAAACTAATTAAAACCGTTTTCTTGTTTGGCATGTTCTGATTTTATATTCAATAAGCATTGAACGTTATAAATGAGGTATATTGAACAACAGAAGTGTTTTACGCGTGATTGTTTTTGTAAGTACTTTAAGTAATTACTTACAAAAACAATCACGCGTAGAACATTTGTGCACAGGACAAAACTTTGAACGGTTTTTTACTCATGGTGGGTAATTGTTATAATTATAACAATTGCTCAACTATTTTCAAAGTTTTGTCTTATGTATATATATATGTATATATTACTTTGGGAGTCTGCTATCTTTCTGACCATGAAGTAAACATTGTTTCTAACTATGTTTACTTCATGGTCAGAAAGATAGAGTTCATTCAGAGACAGAGGTCGTTCATCTTTTCTTAGAATTTTCTCTATCATTGATGATTTTCATTTCTTTGGCTGATTTCTCCATTTTCATGATACCGACTTACAATTTCTTAAATTGTTTAAACCACTGATGTGGTATTCAAATTTAGTATTTACATTCTTGTCAGCATGGTCTTTGGGGGTGCTTCTACACGATTCAAGTAGCTTGCATCATGTAGAAGCTATTGCAGGAAGTTGCACCTGCAGCATGTTGAGGCACACTGGTAACCAGCACGCTCCGCAATGCGCGTAGGCCACTCGCGCGGTTTACTTGCGCAGGTGCAGTACTGAACTGTGT